TTAGTTTCTGCCATAGCCCAAAGGTAAGAGACAAGGGGTCCAGGAGAGAGAAGAAGCGAAAGAAGCAAGGATATGAAGCATCCGGCAAAAGGTAAAGGAGCAAGCTTGGAAAATGTAAATCACTCATACTTACTTCCGCGACTCTAAGTTCGCGCCCGCAGCTAGGAGAGCGCGGAGAGCAGGACCATTGTCTAACCTCGCAGCCAAGTGGAGTGCAGTATTTCCATCCGTATTCGACTCGGCCTCAGTATTAGCACCTTGTCTCAGCAGCGTCTCGATCAGCTCCACCCTCTTCTGCGCACTATTGTCAGCCTCTGTCGAAAGCTTCAGTGGAGGGTTTCGAACAGGCTCTTCGAACTCTCTCGGCGGCCGGAGAACAGCGTGAAGGGGCCACTCGGTCTGGACATCATCCTTATATTCGCCCTTGTTGACGTTGGCCCCGAGATGCACCAGCCTCATCGCGTCTTCGTACCGGCCAAAATGACACGCCTCGTAAAGGATGGTGACAAACCATTCGGGGTTCCTTTCATCATTCCCAACCAGATGGTCGATATTGGCATGCCTCTCAAGGAGGAACGAGACGGTCGTCTTCCAGTGACCATTGTAATAGGCATGATAGAACGGGGTGAGACCGCAGCTGTCGAGAAGATCCACATCGGACACATGTCCTTCATCCAGCAAATGCCTACAGAGTTCTGCTTGTCCCGTGGCTGCTGCCGCGTGAAGTGCTGTGACGGTAAGATGCGACTCCTCGTTGCTCTGGCCCAATTGGACCGAGGCGCCTCGGGACAATAGATACTTGGCGGTGGACGTATGAAAATGGCAGATCGCCAAGTGAAGGGGCGACCACCCGAATGGAGAATGCCAACTCCCAGGAATTCCAGCGTGGGTTTGCACGCGTGCAAGCCAGGGAGCACAGGTACAAAGCTGATCTGAAACCACATCAATGTCGGCACCGTTGTCCAACAGGATACGAACCACATCGTCGTGACCACCCCTGGCCGCGAGGTGGATAGCCCTGAATTCACCAATCACATCTTCAGACATATCTGATGAGCTGGCATCCTCATCGTCTTCATTGGAAATTTCGGACCCTTCCGATGAGTCCTCATCATGGCCACCGAATAAGTGACCCATATTCGCAGCAGAGGCTTGAGGGTAGGGTCCAGGGGTGGGTTCAGTGACATCGGAATCTTCATCGAGATCTTCATCGTCGAACATGTTGAGGCCGGTCCCAAAATCAAATCCCCGTGAGGCTCCAAGGGGCTCGTCGTCATCCGAGTCATCGTCCCTCGGCCTCCACTCCTCGCTGGGATCCCACTTGGGCGGGTCCCAGATGCTGTTCCCATCGACAGCCTCGACTCTGATCTGGAAGCTTTGCATATCTCTCGTCGTCTCGTCAATGTTGGCTTGAAAACGCATGTTTGCATCGATACCAGCGATGAGAGCCTTCTCCACTGTCCCAGTCCGCCCATTGTCGGCCGCCCAACGTAAAGGATGCCATAACTCGCGGCCGCTCAACTTGTCCCTTGCGACTTTGTAGAGCATAGGGTCAACGACATCAAATATCCTGCGGCTCGTCCTTGCGAAGGCTGCGAGATCGCTGGCTCGACGCAAATAGCCGGTCACGTATTCCAACAACTCGGTGGGCAGGTCTTCCATTCTCGCCATATTGACCGAGCCTCTAGGCGGAGATGGTGGTAGGCTATTTGGGTCTTGTGGGACGAGTGAGTGAGGGGGCAGATGTTCGGCTTGAAATCATACAAAGACCTCGCGACGTCGCCCCTACAAGACCGTGACGCTGGGTGGGAAGCTCTCGAGGTAAGAGGGTGAAGGTCACGGGGTGAAGTTGATGTGACGACGCGTTGAGGCCGCAACGTGTCTCCATTCTGCCGCGCTTCACCGCCTGATGTTGTCAATGTTGGTGCCTAGAAGAAGCATCACTACGACGGAAGCTCCTGCTCCCCAGTACACAGATGCCCAGAGCTGTGTCGAAGCTGTCAGTCAGTATTGTCATGGGCCTGACGGTGTAAATGATTGTATTCCACGTGGCACACCACTAATAACAGAACTAGCGTCCGATTAATTTACATGGCCCCAACGGGCAAGTCAGGGGATCTGGAACGCGGATGCTAGCCTCGAAGATCCCATCGCCAACCTAGATAAAATCCAATCATTGCTCACCCGAAGCAGGAGGCGATGGACCTCCCGTCTGACCTCCCTCAATGCATCCAGCTTTGAGAGCCTCACAGTCCTTCTTCAGCCCCATGATCACCTGACGAGAAGGCAACTCCAGGCCTCGACTAGACTTCATCTTGGCCCAAGCCATCAGCCGCTCCTGCGCCTTCTCGAACCGCAGTTTGAACTCGTCAGTGCCGATGTCCGGATCGCCACGTCTCTCGATGATGTCTCCGGCCATCTTGTAGAGCGCCTGGATATACTTCGCATCCAGGCCGAAGGTATATCTGCCGTCCACGCACACGATGGTCATGTAACCGCGAGCCACGTCCCGCAGCGTGGCCCGGCCGCCGAGCACGTCGGGGTGGCCCGCACCGGTCCACTTGAGGTCGTCATCGTCGTTCGACTGTGCGATTAGGATCATATACTTGACGACACACATGAGGTCCAGGACCCAGGACGGGCCCGAGTGGTGGCGGGTGTAGAGAGTGCCCTTCAGGATGAACTCGAGGCCGACTACGCAGCCTAGGTCCCGGAACATGCAGCCCAGGGTGCGCAGCGCGGTGGGCATCGGCTCCATGTGAGAGGGCCAATTGCCGCCGTGGTAGGCCTCCTTCTCGATGTCGAGGAGCTTGTTCTGATACTCCAGCACGGCCCTGATGTTGCGGGCTGTATAGTTCTCGAAGGCCGTTGCGTAAGTGTACTGGAGCTTGTCGAGCTTTCCCTGTGCGTTTCTGAGGGTCTCAATGTAACCCTCATGCTTGACGTCCGCTTCGAGGTGCTCCTGCATCTCAGCCTTACACTTGGCGCCTGATCACAAGTTAGCTTGCCACCTTCTGGAGTTTAGTACGGTCCGGAACTGGTCTGACTTACAGTTACAAATAATGTCAAACTGCTCCTTCAGGGCCCTGCGTCGGTGGAGGACATCCTGGCGGGTATCCTGGTAGCACACCGTGATCTCGGATCCAGCTGGAATATCCTTCAGGGCACGGCACCGGAGCTCTCGTCCCTCGAAGAAGACGTGTGCATTCTCGTCGCAGCAGTGGTTGACCAGGGAGACCACCAGATCGAGGCAGATACCGTAAGCTTGCTCTAGCTCGGGTGGACGAATTGTGAAGGCATTGGTCAGGATCTGTGCCAGCAGGACGCGTCAGTCCAGACAACTTCGTTGCATGGAACGTCTTCGGATTAAGTTGAACTAAACTTACCGCGTAATACAGTCTCTGGATGATGCTCAAGTCGAGGGCGGACCTTGTTGCAATCTGAGCGTTGGTAGCAAGAGCCAGCGCCTGGTCGATGTCAAAATCCCCGTTGCTCTGCTCGCGTTTTCGATCCATGCGAGTCTCGAAGTGGGTTTCTAGAGCTGTAAGAAACCGAAAGTCATCCTTCGAGAGAGCCTTTTTCTTGAGCCAGAGAAGCAAGCGGCAGAGAGCCTGCTCGAGGGACGCCACGTCCTGGTTCTCCTTCAAGATGGCGCACTCGTACTTGTGATAGGCTTTCCACGCCTTGGCTTGGCAGTCCTAGAGACACCGGCGCAGCAATGGTCAGTAATCAACATCCACGAACGCTTGGTCTTTGGTGGAGCAATCGTTGCTATCTCCCTACCTTGGAGCAGTATTGAGCGACCCTGCAACGACTGCAAGGCGAGATATCGGGCCTCTTGTCAAGGCTCGTGTAGAAACGACCATCGGAGTGGACGGATGAGTTTCTGTTCAGAAGACACCAGTCACAAATGCCATCTAGGGCGGACTCGCAAACGAGCAGGAAAGGTTGCGATCGGAAGATGTCCGAGCCAGCTGGGATGTCATTGACGGCGAATAGTCCGCTGCCAGCGTCAGTGATGGAGGAGGGACCGATTCGTAAGGGCACGCCAGACTCGGCAACGTGACGGAGGATGTGGTCACATAGGCCTGGCTGGTCATGAAACGGCTTCTTCTTCTGACCAGACATGGTGGCTGTTGAAGTTTGGGAAATTAGTGGAAGGAGAAGTGGCACGAGATAGGAGGGAAGGAGGTTGGCAGCCGTATTGCGTGTTCGAGCTACCTACTAATTACCTGTAGTACCTAGGGAGGTATCAGGCTGGAAGTAGGCAAGTACCTACCGGGCATCTGAGCAGTGAGCTGGGTCTTCAGGCGCACCAGAACTGGGATCAAATCAAATGCCAGGCAGCAGTATGTGCGCTAAAGACATTTTAAAGGCAGCGGCAGCATTTCACATGATCGAAGTCCCGTTGCTCAGTTGTCACATCGACTGCAATAGTCAGGAGGGCTTGCTTCTTTGCGGGTTTGCGGCTGCCACGCGAAACCTACCTGGGTATATATATATACCAAGGTAATCAAACCGAAACGAATTCTCGCTTGACCCAGGTAGGTACTCTGATAGCAAGTATGCACCACCGCTACCTAGGTACCATCAACCCTGATTGCATGCTGAGCAAGCAGTATCTGCAGTGCTGAGAACGGACGTACTCTAGGGCTACATACTTGGTATCGAACACTCCTATCAGATATCTGATCACTACACCACCTACACCTACTACACCTAGGTAGTTACCCAGTTACCCAGTCTCCTCTATTCGGATGGGTTTTATGAGGTACGTAGATACAGAACTCTATTGCATCTTGCTTGCTCAATCAGCTTGATGGCTTTTCTAGGCACACTGGAACAAGATCACTCCTTCTTGCTTGTCGAGCCACGCACTTGGCTCCTGCTGAGGGACCATGCGTGCACAGTGGAACAATAAGACGAGCGGGTCCTGCGGACATTCCAGATGCCGAAAGAGTTCGAATATAATTCTTTTATCTTTCATACATATCAAGTTAGGCACTTTGGCGGAGTGGTTAACGCGCTGGCCTGCTAAATTCCAATCGGATTTAACAGTTAAGCCAGTTCCTTCGGGAGCGAGTGTTCGAATCACTCAGGTGTCGATCTTTTTTGACTTTTTCTTTTTCGCATGTTGCATTCTCCACCTTTTCCTCTCCTTATCATTACTCCTTTCTTATCTCTCTCCCCTCTACATGCCATTCGCGATTATTGATTGCGGCAATGATGCGTGGACGACTCAAGTGATACGCCTGTCGTTTGTGCTAGGGCCCACAAGACCAAATGGATGAAACATACTTTCTTGAGATTGAAGACACTCTCAATCAACAGACAAGACGTGGCTTTCTTCAGCAGTTGAAATTCGATTCAGTCGCCGAGTACGTGCACATGTTATCACCGACTGCTGGGGACCCATGTCTTGCATATGATATATGACCCATGGTGAATTCGTATAAGACGATTGGTTCGTCTTGATAGTCGCCACAGTCCCGGCAGACCGGGAAAATGGGTGCGGAATGAGTGCGGGACAAGCGATTCCGGAAGTCGGCCATTCGCCGCCCTGAGCTGATATAGCTAAGAAATTTCCTGGCCCCTAGATTGCTCCCCATATCTACTACCTATCACTGATACTACTACTACTACCTTGGCTTTAGGTACGTACTCGGCTCAATTGGGAGACCCCTAAAAACCTAGTCCACGCTATCTGCAGTTCCGGCATAACAATCTTCAAGGCTTAGTACTGGATGCCGAAATAAGACTCCCAGACACCCTCGGTCGAATCTGTGAGTCTTGCTAGCTATCATGCTCGCGTTGCGGTGACTCTGAGGGACCGCGCACCACCGACCGACCGGTCCTCCACGACGGCTACACATAATCAGCGGCCATGGCCGCCTTCAAGAGGCTGCGGGAATACTTCAATGTAGAGTATCAGCCCGGCGAGCGCCTTCTCGTCCAGAAGATAGACTTCTTCATTCTCACCTTCTGCTGTGTGAGCTACTTCATGAACTACGTGAGTGACCCCTGAGGCCTTCCTTACACACCCCAAGGCCATGTCATGCATAATCCAATACTTCCCTCTCCGCCGCCGAACACACCCCCCTGACAACCGCCCGGCAGCTCGACCGCTCAAACCTAGCCAACGCCTATGTCTCTGGCATGAAGGAGGAGTTACACTTCACCGGCAACCAGTACAATGAGATCAACACGTGCTTCACGGTCGGATACGTCCTAGGGCAGATCCCCTCCAACCTGTCCCTGCACTACATCCGCCCGCGGACCTTCTTCCCCCTGATGATGCTCATCTGGGCGGGTCTCACCATGGTCACGGCCTCTACCCAAAGGCCACAGTCCATCATGGCCATCAGGTTCTTCCAGGGTCTCGTCGAGGCATCAACCTTCGTTGGTACGCACTACATCCTGGGTGCGTGGTACACGGAGCGCGAGCTGGGCAAGAGGAGTGGGATATTCACGGCCTCAGGGCTCGCTGGCTCACTGTGAGTTTGACAACCATCCACACCCCCTTTCCTGCCCATCATCTTGTTACCATGAATGTACGGGACTAACCTTTCTCGCCGCCGCAAAGCATCGGTGGGTTCATCCAAACGGGCATACACGAGAGCATGGACGGCCTGCGTGGGTTGAGCGGGTGGCGCTGGCTGTTCATCATCGACGGCATCGTCACGCTGCCGGTGGCAATCTACGGCTTCCTTCTCTTCCCCGACACGCCCACCAAGACCAAGGCCTTCTACCTCACCGAGGCCGAGCGTGCCCTCGCCGTGTCCCGGGTGCCCGAGGTCCGCGACCGCAGCCCGCTGACGTGGCGCTTCGTGCGGAAGGTCCTGACGTCCTGGTACTGGTGGGGCTTCGTCGGCCTCTGGGTCATCGCCGGCGAGACCGAGTCCTTCAGCAGCAACTCGCTCATGTCCCTGTACCTCAAGAGCCACCCTACCATAGAGTACTCCGTCGCGCAGCTCAACGACATCCCCACGGGGGTGCCGGCCGTGGGCATCGTGTCGACCCTGTTCTGGGCCACGCTGACGGACCTGCTGAACGGGAAGAGGTACCTGGTCGGCTACTTCATCGGCATCACCGGCATCGCGACCTCGGCCATGATCCTCGCTGCGAGTAAGGACCCTACGAATCCCAAGTCGACGGCCATCGTTTTTGGTGCCTACTACTGGGCCGGTGCGGTCTACGCGTGCCAGGCTACCTTCTTCGCCTGGTGTAACGACGCCATGAGGTTTGAGGAACCCGTGTTTCGGGGTGTGGTGCTGGCTGGTATGAACCTGGGCAACAATGCCGTCAATGCCTGGTGGTCTATCATCTTTTATGGGGCCTCTATGGCTCCATGGTTCAAAGTAAGTGCCTTCGACGTTTTCGGGAATGATGTACGGGGGGCATTGCAGCTGACTCTTCCTCAACAGCATGGTATGTGGGCGATGATCGCCTGCTCTATCGCATTGGTGGTTTGGTGTGCTGGGCTCTCATGGGTCCATCACAAAGATGAGGTGAGAAGGGGATTGAACGGAGTGGCTCAGGAAGCATCCAGCCCTGAGGCCGTAGAAGCACAGCGGTTTTCGAAGGATGAGATTCGGACGGAGGCACGACCTGAGCTGGATTGAGTGTATATGAAGGATTGGAACAATACCTCGTAAGGAACTTGATCAGGAAGGTAAATTCAATGACGGAAGTAACGAAACATGTTTTTCAAAAATAATTTAGGCACTCTCATGTGGACATATGCATGATATTATTTCTTCGTCGCTGTGCTGCATAACGCTGACCTTCTAAGACAACGCTTCCAGAACTCGCTTCGTCATTGCTATCACTTTCTCTTCCTCTAACCTCCGGGCGACCAGCTGTAAGCTGATCGGCATCGCGTGTACAGCATCTGCGTCGTCTGAGGTATTGTCAGTCTCGAGAGGCAACCGAGATCAGAGAATGTGTCGGACTTACATTCTGCATGTATTTCTTTGCAAGTCTCGCTCAGAGGCTTGTATCCCTCGCCCAGAGGAACGTCCACGTCCTTGTCTACCGACAACCCGGTGGGGAAGGATATGCAAGCATAATCCACAACATTGAAGACGCCGGTGTATCCGACTGCAAGTAGGTCAGAATGTATAAACACCGAATGAATCAGTATGCGCCCAACTCACCGTATTTATAAGTGCCATTCTTGACCGTACTGAACGGTGATGTAGGACACAGGATGGCATCGATACCCGCCTGGTTCCACCTATCCAGGTACCTCTTCTGCAGGTCCGTCCGCTCAAGGTGTAGCTGCCACATATCATACGTGCCAATCTCCCTCGCATCTGCGTACGCGCTCATCTCAGGCCGGAAAGGCTCCCCAGAGCGCTCGAGCTCCTTCCGGATGGACTTGGCGCCATCCGCCAGGAACATGCGCCCCAGGAGACTCACGCCCTGAGCCTGGTCTCTGGGATCCCAGTCCACAACCTCATGCCCGGCGGACCTCAACCTATCCACCGTCTCCCTCAGGGCCCTCGACACGGGTGGCGTGGGGACCACCGTACCATCATCCCACATCACCGCGATCCTCAACCTCCCAGGCACCTCCACATCCCTCCAGGGGATCGGCAGCATCCGCGGGTCATACAACCACGGCCTCCCGCCCACGACGGCCCTGGCCTCGAGCTCGATATCTCCTATGGTCCGCGCCATCGGCCCGTTCACGCTCTGCACCGCCTCCTGCCCGGCCATCCCGCTCCGGCACCCCAGCGTCGGGAACCGGCCGAAGCTGGGGCGGAGCGTGAAGATGCCCGTGCAGGCGGCCGGGATCCGCAGGCTGCCGCCGATGTCCGTCCCGACGCCCAGGCTGCTGCCCCTGAAGGCGATCAGCGCCGACTCGCCGCCGCTGCTGCCGCCGCTGGTGAGGTTTCTGTTGCGCGGGTTGACGGTGCGGCCGAAGACGTTGTTGACGCTCTCGGCGATCATCATGGCTGTCGGGACGTTCGTCTTGACGTAGAACACGGCCCCTGCCTCCTCGAGCATCGTGGCGAGCGTGGAGTCGTAGGCCGCCGGGTCGTCGACGTGGCTCACGAAACCGACTGTGGCGTCGAGGCCCTTGAGGTTGAAGTTGTCCTTGAGGGAGACGGGCAGGCCGTGCAGAGGGCCGACGGGCTTCCCCGTGCGGGCAAGGTGCTCGTCGCGCGCCTGGGCTGTCTCCAGCGCCCGGGCGAAACATGTTTCCGAGAGGCAGTTTAACTACAATGACTGCAGGTTAGCGGTTTTATGGGACGAGTAAGGGGTCATTCGTGTTATACCAACTGGTGAGCCGCGGCGGCTCTTTTACAGAACGCCCTCGTGACGTCTACGGACTTGAGCGCCCCGGAGGCGAGCTTCGGGACCAGTTCTGAGGCGGAGAGGTTGGTGATGGCGAGCTCATCGGGGGTGAACCATCCGGAACTATCTGGCCATGTCGTCACGTCGTCCTGTGAAACTGGGGGTAGTAATTCCGAGGGTACGATCCACTCCTTCGGTATCGAAGCCAGGAGTGATGCCCGTTTCCTCACCCCTATCTCTTCCCACGTCTCCTGCTGGATAGGCTTAGCATCGGATGTAGGTATATCGGTAGTCGCGACTTGAGATTCCTGCTCGATGGTCATGATGAAGGCGTCTGCGCTCTCTTACGCGACTTTCGGTTCTACAACAGGATGATGATACCAAGGGCTTATGCCGTGTGTATGTGTGTGGATACGTGGGTGTGTGTCTCTGTGTTTGCGTCGAAAGTGGAGAACTCCACGAACTCTTGGAGTACAAATACCTACTTGTGTATAGATATAGAAAAAAGTGCAGCGCTACAGATCATGTACCCGAGCCTCAGCAATCGGGAACCCTCTATCCGATGACGGCACGCTTTGGAAGCGGGGCATCTTGCCATCTATGTTCAGGCAAGATAGCATGCAACAAGATATGGGTGCCTTCACGAGATTAGAGTCTTGGTCCTGCGCACGGTAGACCTCGGGATAGGTCCGGCAACGCTGCCCCGGACATAAGCTTCAAGGCAATCCTTCGTTGATAGTGGCTGACATGCTGCAGCGCTGGACTAGGCTGACGTAAGTAAGAGATGGCTCACGCTGATCCG